CAAATAATGTTAGGTTAAAGTTTTGCAATTTTTTTTGCACACCACTGTAATAGAAATAGAATATAAATATCTATTTTGACAAATATCTGTCGATCATGGACAAGAATTGTTTATCCATATGTTTGGAAAAGAATCGAACTCAATAGAAAGTTTTCGTTAAAAGAACAAAAAAGAACGGTTAAACTACTCGAATTATTAAGTGATGATAATCTTATTGCACGGAATTATATTAATGAAATATTTATCAATAATAACTTTCTAACTAACGAGATATTATCCAATATTATTATTATTAAAAAATTAAATATTAAATATTAAATACGAAATACGCTTATAACGTAAACTTGCCTGAAGTTAAAAACAGAACCATTAATAAGACAAGGAACAAAATATTTACTATCGTCATATTTCTATATAAATTTACTGTTAATATAAAATTTAATGTTTGTTAAGAATTCCTTCGGGAGTAATAGGGTTTTTCGAACCTGAATTTTTATTTTTGCTGACAATTTGAATATTATTTTTAATGTAGTAAACTCTTTTATACGTATTTTTGCGCTTTACTTTTGTTTTTGACATAATTACACGCGTTAAAAGACTGTTTGCCAAAAATACGTTTATTTTCAAAATACCAAATAACATTTATTGCTGTTCTAATTGGATTGACGCGTTTTCAATTGGATAATTTTTTTCAACCCACGTGCATATGTTCTATGCGATTGCGTTCTCCACGTAGCGAGTGAGTAGCGCAAAATTTTATATTAATAAAACATAAAGTTTGCTCAACAATTTTTCCTGCCGGTGAATACTTTGCAATAAATTTTGTATAATTAAAAGCTCATTGATTTGCTTCAAAAAAATAGTAATACATTATTGTTGCGCGTGTGTGAAAAGTAAAAGTGTTATAATTTTACACAATATTTCGAACTATACTGTAGCCTAATGCTTGCCTACCTAGGAAACAACGTCTGACCAGCAACGAGATATTGTTAACAATGTGTATGGCAACACAACAATTGCATAGGGAGAATGTCCGTGGAGACGTTCGCGTATTAACTAACATGGTTTTATGAGTGACCTGTCACTAATGTCTATTCTGCCATTACCAGATACAAGCGCTATGAACAACAAATAAGACAAATAAACTGAGATGGCTTTCTTTCATAAAATAGCACAGAATTTATGAAAAGACGACAATAAGAGTTTAAGGAGATAACTACAGTATATTAATATGGGAAGAAATGTGGAACGATTGCTTTGATAGATGACGAAATCGAAGACCAATTTCATTGGCTTGGTGAGTCGAGACTTTTGGTTATTAATATTTTATGACCGTTTTGATTGTATTGACGGTCTTTGCTAGTAATTTAACATTTATAGAGTGTGCCATAAAGAATTGTTAAGTTTAGCTCAATTTGCGTAATATTTTGTCAGCAAGAAAAAAAAACAAGTAAACAACAATTGTTATTACGCGTCAAATAAACAAACAGACTTGGCAAAATGGACCGTCAAAATGTCAGCAAATTTGTGAACGAAAGCTTGCTTTTTTAGTACATTATCGGAATAAAGACATCAGTTCTGTGCTCAAGCGAGCAAGGGCTACAAAGTTTCATGTGGTAGTTAAAGACTGGCACATTGAAACATAGATAATTAAAAAACTTTTGACAGATATTATTACAGAATCGGTCAATAGATTAGTTACCACGCCATAGCCCAGAAGTGAATCAAAACTGGCTTAAAGCCTTCTGAATGCGAATTAGTCGTTTATTTTTGAATATAACGATGTGTGAATTAGGTTGTAGCTTTCAAATATTACATTAAATTCACTATACTGTATAGTGCTATTTTTGTAGCAATTATATGGGGAATATAAATGCACCCCTTACCGCGAATATAAGATTCTCGTCGCAAAGATTTACACAAAGGTTTACGGTGTTTGAACGTTAGCGCGAAAGAAAGGAATGACTTGGCAACGAATAAGCATCACGAACAAGTAATATGTAAAGTGAATACCTTACGTTAATGGGTGCAATGTAACACACCGTTGAATATGAAAAACAAGATTTGCTTAACTTGAGGAAAAAAAGTTTATTTTTATTATAATGTCGTTGGAATATGGTGAAAGGATTCCTTACTCGCAAATCACCGACATAAAGCCAACTGCTCAAATTGACAATGTCTTTCATGCCGTTGCATAATAATACTGATATTCTTTGGAACTACACAAACACTTATAAGTGAGTCTGCCAGAGTATACTCACTTCCGACACACAAGTACAATAATGATGTTGGTCGGTTTAGACGATATTTCAGATGGCTTGAGAAGCGCAACCAATTCATAAAAGGATTCACCGAGGATGACAATAACTATTACATTGTTGCTGATAGACGCTTCTACTATTGTTATTCTCTTTATGGATTCTGCACTGCACTCCGATGTAGTCCCGTGTGGTGCGTTTGTGGTCATAAGAATTGTCCGATGGATGGACAAGTAACAATAAGCAACTCGATGAATTTATCAAGAAATCTCAACTACGAACGAGCTCGGCGAATGCTGCCTATTTGGAATGGATTTCATTCGATTGTATTGACGATAAGGGAAATGGATTTGGACTCTTGCATGGACCACCATTTATTAATAAGCCTGCAACACCTCTTAAATTGATTACACTTGAGATAACAGACGAGACACATGATTCGTATTATGTCGAGGTAATTATTTACTAGTGCATCATGTTTATTAAATAGTTCAAACAATCATCGACTTATTATTATGTAACATTTCCACTAGTTATGTGATGAGCATCCAGATATTCTTGCTACGGATGTTTGGGTTACCCTCGGATTCACCTATGATGCAAGTGAACAGAAGTATTGTCTAATACAAGAATATAATAAATATGGATTATGTTTGGCGCGTGCAGAACGGTTCAACTCCAAGATAAGTGCGCTCTGTTACTGGTGTAAAGCATCGCGACTCCTTGATTGGACTACCAGTAACAAGTTTTTGGACTATTTATTATGGAGTCATGTGGAAGAATACACGTGACGACAATGTACGTATATACAATGGATAGAATATTCTCTATTGACAAACGTACAAGAGATGACATCGTTACGCCATGGATGCACACATGTAGCAGACTGGTTAGAACCGAAAAAAAATGACTTGATACATGTGGGCGCTCAAAAAGATATTTGACGAACAAAACGATTATTTGATTTTCATCAGGTAAATTATTTCATGTGTAAATGCAAATAGTGCGCATCGCTAGTGTCGCAACAATTATTCAAATAGCTGACTACAGAATACCCAGAGATATTAACACCCGATAATATTTGGATAATTGGGATTACTCAGGAGCCATCTACTCGGAAATACTATCTAGTGTTCTACCATGAAATACGTCAGATATTGGACAGGGTCATACAATTTGGCTATCTTAAATACATGCGATATAGCGATTTTGACGAAATTAAACAGATTAAATCTGGTGGTTATGGAACAGTCTATACTGCCAAATATAAAAAGCATTCAGAAGTATTGCGCGTGAAGGAGGATACTGTTGTACTGAAACGATTTAACAATTTTGATAAATCACCGGAAGTATTTATTTCTGAGGTAAGCAATAATTGATAGTATCAATTAATAATGTTTAATCTTACTCTGCATTTGCTTTCGTTAATAGTTCAGTAATCATGTCAAGTGCTCAAAGTGGTTTACATTCCTTAGCATTTATGGTAGTCTTTTGTCTTATTTGCATCAAAATATTAACAAATTGACGTGGAAGATGAAATTAGAGTGTTTGGAGGATATTGCAGCGCGTCTGGAAGATATTCATAATAAGGGTTTAGTGCATTGTGATTTGCATGCCGGAAACATAGTTTTGCACGACGAGGCATCTAAGACACTATCATTCATCTGCGATCTTGGTCTTTCTCAATCGGTGAATTCATGCAAGTCAAGTCCAACCATTCGAGGTGTTTTACCTTTTATTGCACCGGAAATCTTCCATACCCGCAAATTTACTCAGAAATCAGACATATATTCTCTTGGTGTCATTATATATCTTATTGCTACTGGTGAATCGCCTTTTAGAAACAGACCGTTCGATAGAGATTTAATATGCGATATTATGGGCGGGCTACGACCGTCGATGCCTGATTCCGCACCAGAGGAATACAAGAAACTTGCCGAGCGGTGTTGTGATGCTGATCCTGATAAGCGTCCTAATGTATCGACACTTTGGAACGATATTTGTGAGCTTATTGATAAGTTGAAATACAATTCTGACGACAACACGTGGAATGCCGTTTATCATAATGATGTAAAACCCTTAACACGTCACGAAAAGGAGAGTAAATATTCTAGTATACGCTTACCTATTGGAAATTTGCCTAAACCAAGAAACAGCTACGATATGGATTCTGCTGCAGGTATGAAGACAACAGTTGATCATAATGAAGTCAGTCTACAATATTTAACATCGTCCATCGCTTATGGTTTAGTGACTCAAACACTCTGAATAAAAAGTTTTATTCAAAGATGTTGGCCGTCCCCTGGGGTAGATCATAGTAATAGTAAAAGTTTATGAATAAAAATGCTTAATATTAATTCTAACAACATATTTTACCGACATTACTTCATGCTGTGCTACAAATTGCCCGGTTTTAACTCTAAAAAATGATTGGATGATCAAAAAATTCCCTTCATACATAATGATACCTTTACAGATAATGGTCTCTTCCTCGATTCTCACATAGCGGTATGTAAGATAGAGGGAGCGCCATCCATCCATGTGTAATCGCATGCTTTAAAAGAGAAAACACGACTTTAATTTAATCGAACATGGCTTGGCAACTCGGAGACAACATCGTTCGGACAAAGCTAATATCATACTAACACAATCTTTCTGCTTTCTCCCCCCTCCCTCCCCCTCCACCTCAGACTTGTCTTTAAGTTTCCTATATAGAGGATCCCCTTGAACACAAACATCAAGATGTCAAAGGGAGACAGTCGCGCGAAAAAAGCAGATTATTTTAATCGACTGAAGAGTTTATTGGAAGACTATTCCTCCATATTCATTGTCAATGTTGATAATGTTGGTTCTAACCAAATGCACCAGATCCGTCATGCACTTCGCGGGAAGGCCGTAGTGCTTATGGGAAAGAACACGATGATTCGCCGTGCTCTTAGGGTTCTCATAGCTGATTATCCACAGTTCGATAAGCTTTTACCACATGTGAAGGGAAACATTGGATTTGTTTTCACAAACGAAGATTTAAAGCAAACCAGAGATGTCATTCTTTCAAACAGGGTGAGTTAACGAGACCGTATTAATGCACCCGTAAAAAAGAAAAGGAAAAAGAAAATTTTTTTTGTTTCAGATTTTTTGCGAGGGGATTGCGATGTAACCTGTGAAAACTCTTTGTTTTAGATGAAAGCACCAGCAAAAGCAAATGCCATCGCTCCCGTCGATGTAGTTATTCCCGCAGGCAATACTGGAATGGATCCTAGCAAGACTTCGTTTTTCCAGGCGCTCGGCGTGCCCACAAAGATTGCTCGCGGTACAATCGAAATCATAAACGACGTTCACTTGCTTAAATCCGGTGCCAAAGTTGGTGCTTCAGAAGCTACGCTTCTCAACATGTTGAACATATCTCCTTTCACGTATGGTCTTTCGGTGCTCCAAATTTACGATAGTGGCACAACGTTCCAACCTTCAGTCCTGGATATCGAAGAGAGTACGCTCATTGATCGTTTGATGAGCGGAATTCAACAAATAGCAGCCATTTCTTTGCGAATTGGGTATCCTACTTTGGCATCGGTGCCACATTCATTAATCAACGGTTACAAGAATCTTTTGGCCATTGCTGTAAATACAGAGTACACATTCCCTGCGGTCGAACAGGTAATTCGGCAGATTATAAAGCTATCTATATTTAGTCTTTTTCTAGGGCCCCATTGAATTTTATTACTAGTTATGATGATTCGGTAATTGCTTGAGGAGTCTCATTCTATATGGAACCCCATGATTGCCTAAAAATCACACTCTAATTTTTTGCTGATGCTAGTTAAGAAACCTAGATTGGTGGAATTATGCGATCTAGCAAAGAATTGGTGTCGTTTTCGTGAAATAACATGTTTTACCCTACTTTTTGTATATTAGCTCAAGGCTTATCTCGCCGACCCGTCAGCCTTTGCGGTCGCGGCTGCTCCAACTGCAGCGGCTGAAGAAAAACCCGCGGCTGAAGCTGCCAAAGAAGAAGAGGAGGAAGAGTCTGATGAAGATATGGGCTTGGATCTCTTTGGTTAAGGCAATTACTAGAGATTGCCGTCGAGTTTTATCCTTCATTTACATTATCTAAAAAAGTTTACCTGATAATACCCCTTGGTGGTATTTGCATGATAAATGAAAATAAACGCAAATTACGTTTGTAAGTTTATATGATATCTGTAGTTTATACAAAAAACGAGATAGGAATACTCTCTATTTCATTAATGATTATTTTAGACAGCGGGGTGGAAGAAGGATTGTGTGCACATTTAACGGATCAAGAGAGGTGTTTACGCAGAGTATTGCTAATCACTCGATCCCAGTTGGCAGTTGACCTTGCGATTGATCGTTGAACTCGAGCACGCCTACGATAGTCAAAGTTTATTCACTCGGCAAGATAACATTCGCAATTATTAGACGAGTCAAAGTGTAGTTAAACGCATCAACTTGCGTAGCGACAGAAGGGACAAACCAATTCTGATGCCCTAAAATTTAATGTCTATTAACCGCTTTACTTTCCCAAATCCAGTTCAAGGTTATATGCTGTACAATACATTGATTATTTCGACATTGGTTATACAGTCCTTTATTTCGTAAGTTCTATATCAAATTACAGGTGATTTTGTACAAGTACAATAAATGACTGATTAATGATGAAATTGTTTAAATACACCGACCAAAATGACCCTTCTTTCATATGATTATTAAATAGTACAATTATTAAGGAAAGCAGCGAAATTAATTCATGCTGATTTGCATGACCAACTCCATGTTCTTCGCCATTAACTACAAAAACACCGAGAAAAAGATTAAATTGGTAAATCGGGAGAAATTCACGCAAGTTAATTTAATTCGCAAAAATTGACCAACATTTACCTGTTGCATGTCGTCTTCCTGAGACTTTAGTTTTTTCTCCAAATCCTTCTTTGTCTTTAGTATTTGATCCTTTTCATTAACAGCATCCAAATAACTCATTTGCACCTGAGACAGTGCCTCATTCAATTTCAGACATTCGTTTTTAGATTCTTTCAATTCCTTCTCAAACGAAGTTATCTGAGCCTGTAGCCTTAAAAGCTTGACATCTGCACTATCTCGAGCATCGTGACCAGTCGCAGACAGGTCACGTTCTCGCTTCTCGTACGATTGCAATGTATTTTTCAATTCAGCCATCTGTTCCGAGTACCTTTGTTGCAAACTCTCTGTAAGCTCCTTATGGGTTTGGATAAGTCTTTCCTTCTCAAGGGCACACTCCTTTTGTGTTGTATCAAGTCGCTCGCGAAGGGTAGACACGGTCTTCTCGGTCTGACTAATTGATTGTTCAAAGGCTTGCATAATCGCATGCTGTGAGGTCTCGGATTCAGACAAACTCTTCTTGAGCGCAGCATTTTCGGAGTTAAGCATATCCTGGACTGCCTTTAACTTTTCAACTTGTTTCTCGAGAGACATGATCGTCTGTGTGGCTGTCGACAATCGGACATTGACATCTTCTCTTGTATGGGGAGATCTTGGTGGGCTTCGGAAGCCTTCTTTCTCAATGAGTTTTTGCTTGAGTTCGGTAATTTGATTATGGAGTTCCTCTATTTCATTTTGAGAATTGTTAAGCCGATTTTGCATCTCGCGTACTTGGCTATCGGCGTTACGCATAGCCGTGCTTGCATCAGCTTCGGCTGCTCGAAGTTTCGAGTTGAATCGAGTCTGAGATGCTTCGAGGCCTTCGATCTTGGCTTGTAACTGCTTCTTGAGGGTATCCAGTTGTCGAATCTCTGCATCTTTCTTGTCCATTTCCGTTTCTAGATGACTAATTTGCAAATCCTTTTCACCGCGACCTCGTTTCATCTCATTAATTTCTTGCTCCAATAGCCTTTTTTGTTTATCTGATTCACGCCATTGTGCGCTTTGTTCCTTTAGGCGATCATATTCCCTCGTCTTATCAGTCAAGCGAGATTCAAGCTTCTTCATATCCTCCTCTATTTTTTTCTTTTCTCCTTCCAATTCGCGGATCCTATTATCAACCGACACTTTTTCTCTCCCGACTTCGATCAATTTCTGCTTCATGGCTTCCTTATCCGTTCGTGCAGCTTCCAATAAACTGAGCTTTTCGGAAAGGATCCTATCTTTTTCCTTTAATGAAAGAGCCATTTCATTTTCCTTTTCTGTCCATTGTTCTCTGTCCGCTGCCATATCTTTCATAATTGTTTGCATCCCGTTCTGATGCTCCTCGAGCATCTTGGATAAGATATCCTTTTGTTTCTCAGCTGCTTGGAATTTCGCGGTTGCCTGTTCAATTTCCCTGGCTTTTTCTGATAAGCTTGATTTGAGCTGTTCAATTTCGCTATTTGAGCCATTCTCTAATTCAATGACTCGAGCTTGCAATTTGTCTCTTTGCTGTTCAGCTTCCGAAAATTTATTCTTGAGCAACTGGTATGAATGTTCCCATTCGTCCTTCATTGCAGCAATGACGCCGGCAAACTTATTGCGAGTAGCTTCAACCTCCTTGATATCTGCTCTGAGAGCGAGATTTTCTTCTTGGCGTTGGCTGAGATCGTTTTTCAATGTTTCAATTTCTGCATCCTTCATCTTTTTATCTTGTTCCAATATATCCTTAGTAGAACCGAGTTCCTCGACTTGGCTACGCAGCGATGCGACTTCGGCTGTAAGATCTTGGCTCTTCTTTATGGATTGATAGTAATTGGAGTTGAGTTCCTGGTATGAGCTCTCGGCTGCTTCTAGACGCTTTGCAGCTGCCTCCAATGCTTCAACAGAAACAGCATTTTCAGCAATAGTTTTACCCAATTCCTCATTTTGCCGTCTTAGTGTCATTATTGCATTATCGTGCTCAAACGTTAATTTTGCCCGTGCCGCTTCATACTCGTTCTCTAATTTCTCTCTAAGATTATTAAGATCCTTTTGATGAGCAACATCAAGTTCAGATCGGAGAATGTCCATTGACCTTTCATGCTCTCTTTTTGTCCTTTCTATCTCGTCCTTTATACGGTCCAGTTGTCTTTCGAGATTCTCTATAGTACTCTTTTTGTCGGCTACGTCGATTTGAAGATCCTCACATTTTTCTTGAGCGTGACGAAGCTTACGCTCGTTCTGAACCTGTTGGGATTGTAACTCGGAAAGTGCACTGTTAGAGTTATTGAGTTCAATCTGAAGGGATTCGAGCATACTTTCTGTATCTGCTTTCTCGCTAAGCTGGGATTTTAGTTCTGATATGCTCTTACCCATTTCCTCTTTTATCTTTACCAGAACATCCTCAGCATTCTCTTTGAATGCGTTGAGATTTCCGACTTCCTGTCGTAGCCTATGATTCTCGGTTTCAAGAGCGTCTTTTTCGTTTGAGACAAGGGTAAACGATTCCAGTTGGCTTTTGAATTCGTTTAATAAATTCTCAGTCTCTCGTTTGTATTTTGACCATGATACTTCGGTCTCTTCTTTTTGTTGAATGGCATTCATTAGGCGATCTTCGAGGGCACGTCGTTCCTGTTCGAACTTGCGTTTTAGGTCTTCTATAGACGATTGATTATCCAATTGGGCACGCAACGCTTGTTGATCTTCGGAGAGACGCTGTTTTAATGTTTCGTTTTCCTGCCCTACTAGCTCATTTAAACTCGTTAATCGTTCTAATTCAGATTTTATTCTACTCAACTCTTCGTCATGGGCTCTGAGCAGCTCATCCTTTTCGGCTCTGTGTCGTCGAGCTGTCTCCATCATTATTCGCTCTTCTTGTTCTTTAAATTTTTCTGAAAGCTCTTTTTTCATCTGCTCCATTTCATCTCTATGATCATTTATTGTCCTTTCCAGAGTATTCATTGATTCATTTTCAGTTCTCTCAAGTTCATCTCGATACTCTCGTAATGTCCTTTCCATTTCTGCGCTATGCTCATTTTCAATTCGTTCAAGTTCTTCTCCGTGTTCTTTCTTCAATGCCTGTACATACTTTCTGTGTTCACGTTCTAATCGTTCTATTTCCGCACTTCGTTCGTCACCAGACAAATCATCGTTGTCGCTGTTCCGGCGACCACGATGAGCAGATAATTGAAATGTTGGTGACTGTATGAAATCATTCTTGCTTGTTTCATAAGAAGGAGCTCGAGAATGAGCGGAACGGACGGAGTACATGGAATTAATGGCGGAGGTATTTCTTGAAAGCCTCTCGGAGTCGAATACAGTGTCAGAAGGTGAAATAGGTGGGAAATCTTTTACAGTGGATTTGTCTGAGCTTCTGGGGGTCTCGTTCGAGTCTGAATAGTAGTCAGAATGACCGTTTGACAAACGATCGGTTTTCTTTATGTCTGCCTCTGTGCTGTATTTAATCTTAAAACTGTCGAGAATAGGTGACGTTTTTTCTTCTTTTTTCGAGGAAAACTTGTTCGATTCCAATACCAAGTCTGAGCTTGGCTTTTTGTTATCTTCTCTTCCCTTACCAGCATTCTCCAATTCTGACTGTAAAGCAGATATTCGAGACGTTAACAAGGCAAGGGCGGCAGCATGTGAGCTAGGTGTAGTAGGGGAAGTTGGTACTTTTAAGGAAGGGTCAGGCGATAATGTTAGAGTTGGTTTTGATTTATTGTGTTCGTTTGTAGTTTCTACTTCAGATAAAATGTCCACAGCCGAGTCAACATGGGACATTATTACTTTGTTTGGTTTTATGATGAGATTGTCGGCGTCGGTATGTTTTGCGTATCCGTTCAAAGTGATTGAAGCCATACGAACAAGCTATATATAAATTAATGAAAGTGAATAATTTGTGTATGGAATTGAGCCAGACGTATGGCTCGCACTTCTATGCGTGATAGACGAGTTGCGTGGGCTATAGAGAATGTAGCCAAGGAGTGATACTGTATATGTCTGTTCGATGGGTTGAACGAATGCATTAATACATATACAGTCATATGATACGATTGGACATTTCATTGTTAATAATATTAAATACAGAACTACCAAATTTGACGTTTAATGTATACCTGTGATAGAGATATGTTGCACTATGTTACTGACTATGTCACTCTAATACCTTAAGGATTTCCATTCTCCAAAATTGGACAGATAACCGAACATTTGCTCACATTCTAACAAATCGGCTTCTTTGTGATTCTGATGGACGGTACATCGATTATTGTACACCGAAATAGATAAAGTGTGTGTATTGAGTTAATTAATGAGCTTATTTACCCTTTTTCTGATATTAATATTTGATATGGATTAATTCTCAATGGTTATTTAGAATTTTATCATGGCTATTCGTGTATGGAAGGACAGACGGTAAATTCGGATTAAAATCACCAAAGCTTTGGCTCTACTTTTTTTTTTAAAAAAAAACTGTCAGATCTTCCGACACTACCCTTTTCTTTATTAGCTTCAAACATCGAGTGCTTGGGGTGAAACAACAGACTTTCATCCTACTCAACTACCTCGTAAACATGAGGGTCGAACAAATTTTGCATCGCACAAGATATTCGATAGTGAGTAATCATCTACTTGTCTTCCAGAACAAATATCTAGAGTCGTATTCTTCATCACCTAATTAGCATACGCCGCTCAATTAAAAATAGAACCATCACCTATTATTAGAAAACTTGCATATTATATAGTCTGCTTTAGTAAGTGATAGCCTTTGGCATGCAAATTATCCCGTTATATGTAAAACTGTCAAAGACTAGTGTCTTATGAAAGCGTTAACAGAATTTTTTCGTATAGAATGTTATCGAGCAAGCTACACATAGTGACATGCTCCGAGCACGCCCAGTCTTGTGAAATTTATAAAACGAAGCATGTATCTTCCAATTAAGGAAAAAGGCGATCCCGTTCATTCAAATGGAGTTTTATACAATTTTGGGTTTCTCTTACGAGTTAATTTTGTAACATCAAACGCAGAATTTGGGTCAAGCCCTGTTTTGCGAGAACAATTAGTAATGGTGATCGTCGCTTATCGTTGCACGGCGATTCTCAGACTCAACCAGAGAGAGTGCGAGTTCTCACAAACAATGCGTCAAACCGATCTCGATAAATTCGCATTTTCAGTACCATGTCACTCTTTATTCAATAACCGCCTACTACTAGCTCGCCTGATTCCAAAACCACGATCCCAAGTTACCAGCCAATTAATAATAAAACCAATACGTGATACCCCTTTTGCAAATCAATTCCGTAATTTAGCCGAGAATAGAACTTATGAAACTTATACACATCGAAGTATTACTAGTTGGGGCATACCGTAACAAAGCCAGCAGGGGCTAATAACTAAAGTGTATCACATTAGCTTTCGATTCCAAGACTGTAACCGCGTTATTTAACGTCACGTTTATTATACCGCTTTTATTAATAGTTACAAGACGAGTATGATGTTTTAATAGAAAGCGAAAATAGAAAAACGGATTAGTCAGCTCTTATTAATAGAAATGAATAACGGGGGGTAAGGCTGCCTGTGGCCGGAAAGAAGAGAACGTACACCGAAATGGTCAGTAATAAATCTGTTATTTACATTACAATAAAAATGCTTGTCATTAATATTTATTCAAAGCCATCAAGTGAGTTAAATCGTCTGCCCATAATAATAAATCTAGATAAAATATACGAATGTATCTTACAAATGTCAAGACTCGATGAAAATCCGAATTATGGTGAGTAATGTAATAACAAACACAATAACGAACGACATGATCTATTGTCAATATAAATACAGACCGACCGGTCTCAAATGAGTCATTAAATATTCTACATGTAATCCCAATTCGAAAAACTAGTGAATAGATATAAACATAGATATATATATTATAATAATGTATAAAATGAATAACATTGTCTATCACACTACCATTAACTGAATAAATATTGCCCGCAAACAAAAATTTCCATTTAAAATAATTTTAATACGAACTTTGTCTTTACAATTCAATAAGATAATCTTGGTCAAAGCACGTTTATATGTAATATAACCGTTAAAATGACCAAAATATCAAGACATAAGACGTATCCAGTGCGGTAACAGCATTCCATTAGAATGCATCTGACTATTTAAGTCAATGTTAAAAAGAGCAGAAAATTAGAATTCTATTACTCAAAAATAATAAACAAAGCAATCAAACGACTGAATGTCTCACCTCAACTGTACATGGTCTGACAATTTTCGATTTCCTTACTTTACTCAATCTGTCCTTATATTTTTGCGGTAGTTTGCTTTTCACTCTCTCCATACCTCTCTTGGAAAATCTTATTGCTGTCAACAACCGGAATGACTGATTAGGATCGATCTCAGCGTAAATTTTCTTATTCTCTTCAGTCCTCGCCGATGCTTGCGAAAAAGCGCAAGCATTTTCAGAATCGTTTTCGTAGTGTATTATAGAGCCATCGGCGTCTTCTTGTTTAATGAGTAGACGTTCGCCAAGTGAATGACTCGCAAATTGTGGCAGACTATTCTCAGACATTGCATTTCCTAATTCTGGTAGACGCTGTGCACAATCCTCAGAACTCGGCACAGTTTGGCGTGTATCTATAGCCGTTGCCCCGGCACTGGAAGAAGAATTTTGGCTTGTATTTCTAATCATTGTTACAATATGTGAAGATGCATTTTGACCAGCGTTCGTTATCATCGGCTCAGTGCTGGAAGATGCATTTTGACTTGTGCTTCTTAGAATAATTTCAGCATTCGAGTATGTATGCTGACCACTGTTTGTTGTCATCGCCACAATCGTTGAAGATATGGTTTGATCTGTATTTCCTATTATCATTTCAGCCCTGTTGAGATTATTCAATGGTTGATCATATGTCGTCGCCTGCATCAGTTGATTAGGATATGGTCCGGTTACAGTTCCCGTCTGCAATAGTCCGTATGTGGAATCACTGTCCGATTGAAAAGAGAACTGCTCAAGGACATTAGGTGATCCCTGTCGTTTCCTACCTATGCTATTCCTTCGTAACTTTGCTAGAGACCTGTATTTTTGTTGCTTGAACAACTCGTTCAAAATAGTCTGCATCGTAGGAGACAGTTCTTCATGTCTTACTACTTGGGAACACGTTAGATTTCTTGTTAATTCCATATCACTTCTGTGTCCGTTGCCCGCAAATGCTGCTGCGGACGTTCCAGCTCCATCAGACAACGGCGTTTCGTAGCGAGATTGTGAAACTGAGTCAGAGTGCGATTGAAAAAAACTGTCTTGATCTCGTAAGCGAGGTCCGGTATAGTAGGAAAGTCTAGGTTTGTCATTGCTTCTCGAAGTCGTTTGAAGGATTGGCAACGCATTAGTTAGGGGAGTGCGAAAACGTGCAGTCATTGGCCTTCTAAAGGAAAGTGTAGAATTGAGTTCTGAAAAAAGCCAAATCGTTTTAATTAGAATCAGCGATCGTGACGGTATTTGGAAAAAAAAGACCCTTATTATTATACTCGTTTCACCAGTTAATATCAATTTATTTTTCAATAGTGCATAAGCTTACCATCTTGTTGACTCGGCTTTTGTTTCATACTGCGTGGAAAGGGAGCAATGGGTACATGAAGATGCTGCAACAGAACGCCACATAATTTTTAGGGTGTTTGTGTCATCGACGCCACAACGTTTATGGATTAGATCGCCTTATATAGGGAACAAACCTGATCATTCAGAATAATATAAATATGTTTTCAACATACACCCGCCTTCTCATATATAATCGAAACTAACCCACTTTTTTCACAACTTACAGCATACACGATAGTACCTAATATATTTTGCAATATACCCGATAGCATATACTCTGGCTATATGCCTCTACAAATGACGATATAATCGCAATCGACCCGTCAAACTCGCGATAAGGGCCAACAAGTCAGCATAACCTAACTCAGCTATTTTATTGTAACAGAAATCAGCCAAGATCACTAACCCGATATATAAAAATGCTATTGTATTTAAAAATCCAGAAGCTTTAAAACATCATACAGAGTAGTCCCCCATAGTAAATCACCACTTTATATTATATGTAGCCTGACAATTAAAACCCACTGTCGTCAACCTGATATGCAATATATCACATGACAGAAATCTGACACGTGTCGTGTCGACACCGTCTAAGCTAAGTGGAAATAACGATAACATATGTTATTAAAGTAAAGAGGTATTCCCCAGTACTATGGTGCACAGCTCTATACTATTAGTTTATGTTACATAACAGAATGTTCGCTTGGTCCGGTTTGTTGCGTTCTACCCCCAACAAACTGTTATAATGCAATTCTGGACACTCAAGCCTTTATTATTGGTGAGATAAGTGCGATCACGAAGCGCGACCCTTCGTCCCGTCTATAATAACTTGCAAAGTATGTTTATTATTAAAAAAGGTAAAGGCTTTCTTATAGGCATCTCCACATCGTGATAGCAAAGTATATTGAAATTCCATACTCGACTGCTCAATGCACACATTTCTCCTGTATCTACACAAACGGTGATCTTTCTTACAGACTTGGAGATTTTGTTCGATTGCAGCAACAAGACAGTAGATAACAACGAAGTGCGATCAATATGACGGTAATGGATAGAATATTCAATTTTATAACGTAACAAGATTCACAATATATTCATATACATTATTTTCTTATACGCAATTACGTCAATTGCTTTTCTATTTCTCTTCTTAGTTTTTTATTTTCTTCCCTCTCGTTTTGGTAATTTTCATCAGTCTCTCGTAAAAGCTCTGACTTTCTTTCTAACTCTGTTGATTTATCTTCAACTTCTTTATTTAAAGGGATAATATGGTTTGTAAAATATCAATTCGCACAAACTCCCACCACATTCAAGTGACAATCAGCACGGCAAGTTTTTCCCAATAATTCGGACCAATCAGACCCTAAATATTTTCGAGGCTTTCAGCCAGGAGATTTGATAAAATGGCAAGGAAAAAAAGTTCTGAGAAAGCATTTCGCAATTGATCCTGATTTAGCTTCTCAAACTAAGACTTATTTGGATTTGTTAGAATTAAACGAGTTTTTAGAAATTCTTTGTTCTAATCTTGCGGCTTACCTAGAAATGCCAGGAGCCAACAAATCCCAACATTTACAAATTTACCAGAACGCCATTAAAAAGGGAACTGTGTTCTAACAACTTGATCTTCTTCAATACTTTCAATGTGACACTATGACTTCTATCTGACATGTGACCGATTCATTTTTAATTAATGGTGGACCATGTTCTTGTACCCAATTTCCTCTCCAAAATGCATTTGCACTCACCCACCTCCCTCGACATCGTGGTTGTATTTATAAGAAAAAAATTGCACACCGCAGTATAATTCTAGCTTCATATAATCTGGTAATGACAGTCTGCTCTGGCTATTAAGATACATTTGTTTTATGTATTTTTTTCATTTTATATCAACTCACAATACCTCCGCCCCTCTCTCCCAGTGTGAACATCAGTGACAACAGTTTCTAGTAAAGCTTTGTTGACTTTGTCAAATGATTAAATTATCGTTAAATGGTTCAAAGAAATTGTCCAAGTTTAGTAATTGGCACTTATTTTGAGTAAAAATTTATGGAATTTGACAATCATCCATAATATTTTTCATTTCGCCCGAAAATGTTATAATTAGATTAATTGTAGCAACAATTCGGCTGTAATATCTTTTACATATTATATATTTGTGAAACAAGTTGATTATGATTGATTCATACCTTTTTTATGCGTATTCGTAATAGTTTTAACCACTAACGTAAAAATTCGCAAAGGATGTAGGCGAAAAAGTATGCGAGAGCCAATAATTAGAACGCCTCCCATCACTATCGTAATGATCAAATTATACACGTGGAGTATACGTAGTGAATTCCAGACATTCCTCTGGAACTCTAAACGTTTTACAATTATTATAGAACCAATTATGATGACTGCAATGTCATGTTATTATCTGCTGACTGATAATATTTTTAATCAATAACGTTTCTGTGATCTTATGTCATGTGCTTTTCTATTGATGTAAAGACCTATTAATGTTATTATCGCTATTGTGTAAAGAATTAGTTTTCATATGTATGGCTTATTATATCAGCATTATTACGTCATGCTATTATATTATACTAAACAATATATTGGTTGAGTTGAGTTTGGCAGTAGCAGCATAAAAATCTGTCTGTATTAAAATATACGCGTGGCTTATCCGCAGGTGCGGATCTTGAACCAGTCATTGCCCTAAATCCCCACATTGTTACCTGATTGAAATTTTTACTCCGAAATGTCTTGTTCTCATTTATAGAAACCAATTATGTTATCATCTCCTTTCACTGATCTTATGTCATGATGCTTTTCTATTGATGTAAAGACTTATTAGTGTTATTATCGCTGCTGTAAAGAATTAGTTTTCATATTAATATGTATGACTTATTATTATCAGCAGTATTACGTCAAGCTATTATATTATACTAGACAATATGTTGGTTAAGACAGGCGCAGACATGTGATCAGTCTGTATTAAATTATACCGCGTGGCTTATTCCAGTAAATTCACACATTATCCCTTTTTCCTGATTGAAACGAAATGTCTTGTTCTCATTTATAGAAACCAATGGCAATATTATGTTATCATCTCCTTTCACTGATCTTATGTCATGATGCTTTTCTATTGATGTAAAGACTTATTAGTGTTATTATCGCTGTTGTAAAGAATTAGTTTTCATATTAATATGTATGGCTTATTATTATCAGCATTATTACGTCATGCTATTATATTATACTAGACAATATATTGGTTGAGTTTGACAGTCGCAGACATTTGATCAGTCTGTATTAAATTATA